CTAGAAAAATGGTATTATGTCTGTCTATGCGTTTGCTGTTGCTATACTTGGTATTTTTGCAATGAAACTTATCATGATTTATAATGTGAGTGTCAAGTACATATTCATTCATACCTTCGTATGATAGGTAACTTATTTCTATCATAACTTTGGCCTACTTTTATGTTGGTATAGTATAGTGAAAATTTATTTGCCATAAATAAATGCATAAAAAAGTTTTTTGGGGGGAAAGACTTAAAGTTGCTATAATTTTACCTTACATGATGCTATTTTATGTAGTATTAGTAAAACTTGGCGAAATATGGGCAACAGTTTGTTGATATGGAAAAATTGTTGAAGAAAGTGTGCAAAGTTTTATGAAGTAAAATAAATTCTTTATATTTACTAATTATATTTATTTATTGCCAAGAAGAGTAAAAAAATTATCAAATAATAAATTTTGAAATCTTTTACCTATAGTCTATATGATGAATATTTATCTCAAACTTTTTTCAATTCAAACAACCATATGTTTGAATTTAAAATATGCTGAAATATTTCATTGACTTTTTTTTGGCTACCTGCTATGCTTTTAAAAATACTTTTTCGTTTCCTGCTTTAAATTACTTTTTATTTTACTTTAAAAACAGTTTGCTGCCATTCCTTTTCTTTAACAAAATTTCTTTGCACAACTTTTATGCCCAACTTATGTAACTGAGGAGGAAGTTGGAAATTGCAGTCAATAAATAATGTTTCACTAACTACTTCATTCCTTCAGGGATGTCTAAAGTATGTGAAAGACGACTGCAACAAAAGAAGTACATTCTCGAAATTACTAGAGGAGAAAATGTGCAAATTGTAAAGCATAATGTCTGAGAAGAAAATATGAATGTAAAATAAAGTTTTTACTTTTCATTTCTCAATCAATTGATTGGGAATTTTTCTCAATTGTACTTTTTATATTGTATTTGTTAAAAAGATTATTTTAGACAATGATTTGTACGTAGTCAAAGAAAACAAATGAAAGAGCTCTTAAATAAATAAGAAAACTATTGCAATCTGGATTTTATAGGAATTTATTGTCTGTAATTAAAAAAATAAATAACAGAGAAAGGAGACAGATAGAACATCTGCATATCTCTCTTTGAAAGGAGATTATGCGTTGATCTGTCAAAGTTTTAATAAGAATTTAAATTGCTTTTTATATTTTCGCTATATGGAAATGGGACGAACATTATTAATTGGAAATCCTTCAATTAGCGATAATAAAACTAACTCTGTAAAGCAAAGATTTAATAGCATCTCTCCAAACTCTCAAGTATTTAAACTTTATAGTTTTTTGTTGTACTTTTTTTTCCAAAAGCTTTGCATTAATTTGTAAAAGTTTTCTCAATTTTAAAAATTTGTTTATACATAAAATAAACGATTTTAATTCATTATTTTTTTACTTTTGTCCTTTTCTCTTAAATGTTTGCAAAGATATTAAAAAATTATAAAACTTTTTGTTGTTTGCATTGCATTTTGCGAGTAAAAATTTTTAAATATTCATAGAGGATAGCAGCAAATAGAAAAAAAATATTTTTTTAAATATTTTTGTGAAGAATATGTATTCAAAAAATTTAAAGCAACAAGCAAAAGTTGCATGCATACAAATTCATAAACTATTATTATTTTTTTACTTTTCATTTACTGCGCATTGCTTTTTGTTGTTATTTGTGCTTCAAGTGAAAACTTTGTCATAAACTTTTTTCGTATTTTGTTCTTTTTTTTAACTTTCCATTATAAAAGAGTCTGTAGGGGAAGGCAGAGTGGAACAATCCACTGCAGATGCTGTTAAAACAATTATAAGATGATGAAAGAATGTTGCATGTCAATATAGGTACATATGCATGTATATGTTGTAGTGTTCCGAGGAACTGAGGAATATCTCTAAATCGAAGCATAATAATGTACACAAGAAAACAACTTTTTGGAAGAAGTTATCAGTTCCTTACCAAAGATCGAAAATTTGAATCTTAGTACAATATTTAAAAAATCTTTTCGAAACGAGTTCGCTCCGTAATTTTGCTTTTTACCACAATAGGTCATAATATTGTCATCATTTTTGGATTACACAGAAAAATATTAAAAAAATAGTTTGGCATGAGGTTTGGTTCATTTCTGAATTGTTTAAATTATTTTGCAATTTACCTTTATGCCGCTTATAATGCAAAAAAACCTCAATTTTGTATATCTTTTGAGACCCATTTCGAAATCATTGAAGACATTTTTATACCCACCATCAAAAAAAAAAAACGAAAAAGCTTTGTCATTCCGTTCCTAACACTTCGAAATATTGGTTATAGATATATATATTCTAGATCCTTATTAAATTCTATGACGATCTAGACACATCCGTCTGTCTGTCTGTCCGTCTGTCTGTCTTTCTGTATGGGTCTAAACGAGAGAAGCTGAAAAGCTAAAATTTTGCCTGTTTGATTTTAAAAATGGGCAATATCTGCCCAAAAATCATTGAATAAGGTATATACATAGATCCAGAATTGACCGTACCCCATATAGAAAATCCCCTTTCGAAAATTACTTTAACTAGCTTAAAATTACATTATATCAATGAAATTGTTCATAAACAAGTTTTATACGAACCAAAATCTCACTATCAAATTTTGCGAAAATCGGTCCATAATTGAGCCTTCGCCCCATATAAGGTCCTCTTCAGAAAATTACTTTAACGCTCATTATTGGGTTATAAATCGCTGTACTAGTCGACAATGTACGACATTCTTAAGTATGATCCCCTTAAACTCCTAAGATATTACTCATTACTTTTGATATATAGGATTCAAAATTGACATTGCAACACATGCTTTGATTGTGGGTATATAAGATTCGGCATAGCTGAATATAACACCCTTACTTGTTTCTTAATATATTGTACTAAGATAAGGATTTTCAATCTGAGGCTTTTTGAAAAATAAGATTTTTTATTGTATTTAGTACATTAATACGGATCGTTTGAGAGGTATTCCTTCAAATGATTGGTCCACGGGACAATATAGTATGTATGTGATTATATTTTTTATTTCAAGGCGTGGCTAGGGTTTTGTTGGAAATTCAGCTATGAAGATGTGTTTTCGTTTCCAACTTCCATCGAAAATTCGATCGGAATTTCTGAATTTGTTATCGAAAATTACAAATTTTCATTAAATATTCGAATTTCTATACTATATTTATATGTTCACAAAAATCTAAATATTGTAGATAAGTTTCGTTTTTAATCAAAATTATAATTTTTGTACAAAAATTTCAGTTTTTCCCTAATCCTTTGAAAAATCCAAATTTTTATTTCAAATTTTAATTTTTACCAGAATTTCATTTGTTGTAAAAAAAAAAATTACATTCCACTCTCTTATTTATAGTTTCAATGTATTGCTGATGTAGTTTTTACTACTTTCCGTTCATTTCATTGTTTTCAAAAAAAAAACCTTATGCCTTTTCAATCTATTGTTTTAAATTTGAATTCAATTTGACTTGGACTTGAACACGCTACTGAAAATTAACTGACATTTGGACTATAAAAATGAAGAAAAGTTTTATACTACATATAACAAATCTATTGTATCTGGGACTTTATATACATTTAAGTATTCATGATATTGAATAAAAAAACTTATTTAACAGGTGTTACTTTTTTATCTTAGTTTTTTTTTTTACTGCAGTTCTCCCTCTGAATTTTATTTGTTATACAAGTTCACGGCACACTTCATTATTTGTTTCGTAATACGAGTCAGTGACTGTCTGTTTTTAGCAGTATGTCAGCAGTTTAGAGCAGAGATTCCTTGTTTGTATTTTAGTTTTTTTTTGCAAACAGAAACTTTTATAGATACTTTTGCAAACTGTAAAATACTAACGTTAAATAATGTTCAAATTGCAAAATAACTATTTTGCTGTTTATTTCTACATATTTTTGCATTTACTCGTACTTATAAATTTTAATATTGTTTTTTGTCAAAGTTTTTCTTTGAGCTGGGTAGAGGAGAGAAAGTATCAGGTACTTGTTTATGTAGTATGAATAAAAAGTTATTATTCTTTTGCTTAACACGTCTGGCAGTTCGTTCGTTATTCTTTACTAATGAATATTTTATTGTTTACTTTGGCAAAATAAAATGTGTTATTAAAATGTTTTTTATAAAATTTTATGATATTTTTATAATTGTAAAAGTTTACAGTGTTATAGAAAAAATGCTTACAACATTAATAAGTTGAAAATTTTACAGTTTATTTATATGTATGTATATATAAAAATCATTGTTAACATTATTAAAAGTTCTCTACTATCAACTAAACAAGCTTTCCTTAATCGCAATACTAACATACGTGTTTATATTTCATTTCAACAAAAAACCTCACCTGTTCCTCTTACTAATGAAATTGTATTCATTGTAAATAACACCGGATCATTAAACTTTAACATTCATCAAACTTTTGTTTTAATGATTTTCCTGCCTGCCATCCTGACTGCTTTCAGCATGTGTACGCATTATACAACAAAAATTTACACTGTTCGCAGCACGTAGCAGCGAAACTTGAAACACTTAAAAACTAAAAGCAACAAACTTCTATAGTGTTTTATACTTCGATAGTGTTTTATACTGTTATATACATATACAAGAAGTTTTCTTAATGGCCAACAACACTAACGGATACTTAATTTAATTGTACAAAATCATGTTTCCCGTAAAACTTCAATACCAGGCTACAACCAACAACTACTCTATACTACAACATTGTTACTAAATTATGCATTATTTGAATAAATTTGTAAGTTTTGCATTTACTACGTTGTTCTTGTTGTTATTGTAGAAACATTTTAAAACTTTTAATGTGATTTTAATAACAATTTTATGGTTGTTAAGAAATTTGTTTCATTTGTCAAAAGGAAATAACTTTTTCAATATATTATTATAATAATACTCTAATAACGTATAAAAGATGTGTATTTGTATGTGTAGTGTTTAACTTACCATAGGATTTGGACCCATTTTAACATTTTTGGCCATGTCCATCATATCGAGTGCTAGGCGCGCAATGCATTTAGCATGATTTTCACAGTGATCGGGTAAACCGGAAACAGCCATGTATTTATCACCAACAGTTTCCACCTTTAAAAGTAAGAAAACATTATTAAAGACCTGGGGCGTATGATTGTTATAATTTTTAACAAATAAGGTATACGCGGTGTGTTCCGAATAGGTTACAAAAGTTGTCGTTTTGGTTAGGTTTGTACAAAATTTGAGAGTAGAAGAACATATTCCGAATTGATACGGTTTAAACAGCCAATCATAAATACAATGATTAAGTAGCAATTGTGACAAAATTTAACAGAAATATGTTGCATTCACCCAGAAGTATGCGAATGTCGAGTCATATTTGACCATATACAAAGTCTCTAGAATATTGCTTTAATGTTCATAAAATAGCTTTGAATGTAAGATTTGCCATATCTGATAATATACATAACTTGTTTAAGTTTCCTTAAGGCTGGTACTCTGTTTGAAGTCCTGAAAAATGTTTATCAACTTTTACAATTTCATTTGAAAAAATTTAAATGTATCAATGTTATCTACCTAGGGATTTAAAAAATAAGATTTCTCATGTCTTAAATAGAAAAACCCCAAGATTTAAATAGCTTAAATCTGTTACAATTGCAAGATTTATTGAACATTACAGACGACATTTTCTTTTATTTTTTTAAAGCGCCCTAAGATATGCTTTGGCGATATTTAGTAATAAGTAATGTGTGTTTAAGAGATTTTCGGAAGGGAACCTTGTATGGGACCGATCGCACCCATAATATGAACCGATCGTGAAAAAATCTTAAAATAAAATTTTTGTATACAAAACTAAAAAAAATTTCACGGTAACATTTCTGTATATAAGAGCAATACTTGTACCAAATTTTATATGGATAATTAAGTAATGAATTAAGTGCGTTTAAGTGATTTTCGGGAGGGGACCTTGTATGGGAGCTATGACCAATTATGAACCAATCGGAAAAAAATTTCACGGTAATATTTTTGTATATAAGAGCAATACTTGTGGCAAATTTTATATGGATATCTTAATTTAGTAATGAGTTATGCGCGTTTAAGTGATTTTCGGGAGGGGACCTTGTATGGGAGCTATGTCCAAATATGGACCGATCCAGAAAATTTTTTCTCTATATGAATTCTATTGACAGAATTTTAATTTGTAAAATTTTGTGAAGATATCAACATTCTGACGGAAGTTATTAACAATAATCTCATTTTCCGGAAATATGTAGTTTTGTATAGGAGGTATAAGAAATTGTCGATTGATTCCGGCAATTTTCGACAATAAAGTTCTCGTGTAAAACAAGTGTGTGATGATTTTCATGTAATTATATTGCATAGTTTTCGTGAAAATTGCATCAGAATGTTTAAAAAAATGCTTATTTTTTTCGGAGTTGTTTTAAATTTTGATCCATAACTTTTCCCGATATTAACCGATTTTGCTCATTTTTAATACCAAACTTTTAATAATTTTCGTTTTTACGTGCGCGTCTTTTACACACTCAGAATTTCATAAGGACCAATAATATATATATACTTTGTTGAGCCTCAGATGAATATTTCTTGGTGTTACACACGGAATGACAAAGTTATATATACCCTCTATCGCTACTCATGGTGGTGGAGGATATAAAAATTATTTTTGTAAAAAAACTTTTTATGAATGAAAATTGCATCTAAATTATGATATATCACGTAATATATAATGGATATAAAATGACATATAGTCTCCAATAACTAAAGACCTGTAAATAAACTTTTATTTAAAATTTCACGTGAACTAACTAGAGCCTATATTATTTCATACAAATGGAAAAAACTGTTGTTGAAATGTTGTTAGAAACATTTCACATGTTTTTCAACAATACAAACAGAGTACTAATTCAGCAACATTTTTCCATAAAATTTTCATTACAATTTTTTTTTGTATGAAATTTTTAAAAATTTCCCATGAAATTTAGAACAGAATACCAAGCTTTAGTCATCAATTAAAGCAAGTGCTTTGAAAATCTAATAAAATAATTTTATACGAAATATAAGTATATTAGTTTTTTATCTTTACAAGTGGTGAGACTAACCAACAAACCGACCAACTACCCAACCATTAGGACTCTCGAACCAAAAAAACCAAGAAAACAACTCAGCAAATAGGTTTTGTTTTCCAATGGTTTTGGTTTTGTTGGTATCTGCTTTGGAATAATAAAATCTAATATTTCCTCTACACACACAGTAAGTAAATAGACAGTGAAAAAAAATATTTTAAAAGTTGAAAAGAAACACTAGTCATGTTATGTTTTAATTTAATGAAAAACACTTTCACTCTGTCAGTCCTACAAATATATTTATTTCTACAAAACAGAGGGTTTCTTCTTCGGAATTACAAACTGCAATTTGTTAGATAGAAATAAAAAAATAATATGTATGCGAAAAATTTTATAAATGAATATTAGTTTTGATGCACTTATATCTAAAACAAATTGAAAAAAAAACTTTTAAAAACTGTTTTTCTCTGCAACCATTTACACATTTCAGTTATTAAATGTAAATTTCATCATTTTTATTTACCTTGTAAATATTTGGATTGCGTTTTGAATCTGTTAGAGCATCAAATACTGTATAGAGTTCATTCAGCATTTTAACAATTTTCATGGCACCCTCTGGATCGGTGTTCTCAGCACAATATTGACCAAAACCAACGATGCCAGAAAACATTAGTGTTACGGAATCATACCTGCATAAATCATGAAATATAGCAATAAACAAACACATATGAATAAGTATAGATATATGTATAAAAATCATGAATTGTAAAGATTTTCTATTTATTTAAACGTTATGAATTCATATTTATTTATCTATAAATATGATGTGATGCAAATATTTAACTCACCTTTTGGGTGCAACTGGTCTTTGATGTCTCAACTCATTGGCAACGGATTTTGGTAGTACTGAATATAAAAGTCTATTTAGTGTGAAACAAAGAATTATATTATTTAGTATTTAAAATGTTATGAAGGGTTGCAATATATTAAAACATATTTTATATTTTCATTGTGGAAAAATTCAATTCAATTATCTAAATGATATTTACCTATCAGTTTTCTGTTTTTCACTTTCTAAATCTCTAAATGTTTGTTGCAGTTTATCAGTTAACATTTCAAGATTTTTAGTTAATTTATATTCAGCTTCAAATTTCTCAGAAAGCAGTACTAAATCTCTGGTAGCATCATGTAGCGGTACGTCGGAAATGTGTAAGCCTTTCCTGTAATTACAAATAAAGTACAAAATAAAACAAAAATTATACTTTTTGTAAATTAAACTAAATTAAATCTACGACTGTTGCTAGTTTAAAACTTATTTGTGAATATAATTTTAAATGACTCATGATTTAATTTGAACAATAATGATTATATTATTAATGTTACTTATTTTTCATTATAATGCAATTATTTTGAATTTAGCTAATTATTTAAAAAGAGTTATATGAGGAATAGCGGCAAATATGGACCGATTTTTCCTACAGTTATTTTTATACACACCATGAAAAGAGATGGATGTCATATTCATTTTGTCATTCCGTATGTAACACATCAAAATATTAGTCGTAGACTATATAAGGAAAATGACTTTATGGCTCACAAATGGCTTGAAATTAAAAATATTGGGATGAAATTCAAGAAAAATAAGTTTTAAAGGATCTAAAATCTTTCGATCGGTCCTTAATTGACCCTATAACCATATAAGGTGCCATTCTGAGTATTTCTTTAAAGCTAATAATTGGCCTAAAAATATGCAGATATACTGATGAAATTCGAGAAAAATAAATTCTATAGTAATCAAAATATTTCTACCAAATGTTATGAGTTATCTCGGAATCTCTGACTCAAAGTTATCTACAACACTCTGCACATATGAAATCAGAAAAACTTAATTTTTTCATTTCAAGTAGAAAGTTTTACATTGTGAAATTGCACAGCTTTTATTAACAACACATATACGTATACGTGATAATGATTTATTGATATTATAAATATTAAGTATACGCCTAATTTAGATATTTTTGAAATATTTTTTTAACGCGAATTTAGGTTAAATAATAAAATATATCGAGGGACTATATTCAATAGTCACTATCTAAAATAATACATGTTTTCAGGAGAGCAGAAAAACTGTTTATTTCGCTAGTTCGTGAAGATTTTTGATTTTTTTCTTCTACAATATATTTTTACGACCACATTCTAAATCGTTATATAAAAATAATTTAAAATGTTGCATTATTTGCAAAATTATTCACAAATTTATATCAGATAGAGCTTTTTTTTCTACGAAAATTTTTTACCACCCTCAGATAGAGAGTTTTTCATAGAAATATAAATTTTTTATTTGATTTAATATCAATAATAATATTTATTTTATGCAATTTAATGAAGTAATAGAAACCAAATTCTCGAAAAAGCAATGTTATATGGTTGAACACGGCAATATGATTAATCAAATTAGTATCATAATGAGCGATATCTCGAAAACTATTAAACCGATTTTAAATGTTTGCAGATTTGTGTTCAGCATGTCCAAATTAGTAAAAACACTTGTTTTGCAACAGAAAATTATCCAAAATAATAGAGTTTGAAGCAATTTTTGGATAAGATAGAGTGTTTTGCATTCAGAATTTTTCTTTTTTAAGATAGAGAAATTTAAAAATTGCTATAAAATTGCCAAAAAATTATTTTTTTCTTTGAAATTTATGTCACTGATGAGGGATAGTTTTTTGGAAATTTTGCCATCAAAATCAAATTTTCATGAAAATGACAGATAGAGACTATTGAATATAGTGCCTCGATATAAAAAGAAAAAAATGTGTGCTTAATTTGTCTGGTACGCCTTTTCATGGAATTGTCCACATGTATTTGAATCTAGTGACTGTTTTTGGACTAATCTAGAATAGTCTATTGACTTATCAATCAATACCAATCTATTCCTTTGACTAGTTGATGGGCAAAGAAGAAATTCTCACACTCAAAATTCTATTGAGTGATTATGTAAGCCTAAATTTTAATCAGTTTTTCTCTTTAGTTACCTTTTATAACTTTATTTTCTCTATTGACTATACAAATTAAGGTATTCAAACACAAACATTTTGTACTTGTGGTCATTAACGCTAAGGCAATTTTTTATATGAGATTAGACTAGTAAACATTTAAAAAGGAAATCTTATGCCAGAACATATATAAAATTCTATTATTTGTGTATTGAATTACAGTGTGTTCAGTGATGTTGTAAACATACTTGATAAAGCTTTTTGTTAACTTTGACATCGGAAGCTGTTAAAAAAACAGTTTTCATCACACAGAACTTTTGTTTGAATTATTATATGTCACATTGGCATGTTTTATTATATGTACTATATTGTATGTATGTACATATATTTGGTGTATAATCTCGTAAATTTTTCCTGTAATTTGTCATTCTTGATGGAAAATTCAGAAGAAAAAATTTTAACATACATTTATTCCCTTATTTTATTTTATTTTCTTTTGTTTTTGTTTGGTTTTATTTATTTTTAGCAAAATTGTGTCTATAAAGTTTATATAATATTACTATTATTCATATGGTTGGCAGTACATTGTATGTTTGTATATTAGAGTGTCAGGTACAGCTTTTTTACGAATCTCATGTATGAATACCTCGTAAACGATGGTAATAATTTAATTTTTTTGAAAGGCGCCTCAGATCCCTACCAGCGATTGGAAATTTTGATCTTAGTAAAATATTTAAGTGCAAAAAAATTGTGTGCAATCTTTTCGAAATGGGTCTCAAAAATTAAGTAATTTTGAGCAGATTATGGGAGAAATAAGTTTAAAATATTGTTAGAGCATTTTTGGTCTAATAAATGATTTTGGTGGAATAATCTAACAAAAATTAAAATTATTTTTCTCACGATAAGCACAAAATTATGAATTTTTGCTAGTAAGAAACTGAGGACCCCTTCATAAAATTATTTTTTTATTCTTCTTGTGTTCAGTACATTATACTCATAGTTTGCGAGATATTTCTAGAAAAAAGTGGTGCCCGGGACATCCTAATGTACATATAGTCATCTAAAATGCAAACGGCCCTATCTGACATTTTTAAAATTTTACAGGAGAAGCAAAAAGCTATTTATATTGAAAAGTTTGTTTTAATCAACGCGATTTATTTGTAGTAAATAAACAAATTGTTTAATAGTGAAACCTATCATTTGTTATGATAATTGACAATGGATTATATGAAAATCGATAAATTGGACTTTTTACCTTTATTATTTAAATGTTTTTTTAGGTAGGGCCTTTCGTTTTTTTTAATAAAATTGTTAATAAAATGTAGACATTTGCTTTGATGCAATACATTAGAATCAACAATAAAATCGATTTTGAATTTTTGGTAAGTTAGTGCCGTTTGCGTTTCAGGTGACGATATGTATATATAAATATAAAAGAATTTTTTATTTTTTTTGGTTGCTGTTGTTGTGCCAGTAACTTTTACATTTGTTTTCTGACACATGTCATGACATTTTCATTGTTTGAATAACTATAAACAGCAACAATAACTACAAGCAAAATTAAAACACTTAATTTCTCCTGTTACCGATTAGAAACGAGTATATGTTGAAATTATGATAGGGACCATACGGGAAGAGCTGAACCCATAAAATTATATTTATTCTGAATCCTTATTAAATTCTAAGACGATCTAGCCATGTCCGTCCATCTGTCTGTTGAAATCACGATAGGGACCACACGGGAGAAGCATAAATATTCTCAATTGATAAGGTTTGTTTGGTATTGAAAATGGGCAATATGGGTCCACGTTTTCGTATAGTCCCCATACAAGTGGTCCCTCCAAAATAAAAAAGCTTTAACGGAAATAACTTTTTTAGAAGTACGAGTATAGCTATGTTATTCGACATAAATAAGGTTTATATGAACCAAGCTCTACCAATTTTTTTTGAGGATCGGTTCATAATTGAGCCTACCCCCCACATAAGGGGCCCTTCAGAAAAATACTTTAACACTCATTACTGGCTTCAGGTTCCCTTCAGGAAAGGGGTTTGCTTATCAAAATACAAGTTTTCCTCCTTTAAAAATACGAGTATAGCGATGAAATTTGACATTCTATACAAAACAAAATCTGTGTACAAAATTTTATGAGTATCGGTTCATAATTGACGCATATATGGTTCTCTTCAGAAAATTACTCATACGCTCTCGGTTTAAAAATTGAACAAAAGTATTTTGATTTTAAAAACTAATATTTTGTTAGTTCAAAAGAGCTCGGTCTATAATTGACTTAAGCTATATTCTCCTCCTTTTTATAGGGGAGCATTCCTTTTACGGCATATGGTTTGATGGTGGGTATATGAGATTCAGCACAGCCGAATATAGTATTTTTTTTTCTGGTATTTTTATTTCTGGTCATTTGTCATTATTTTAACACTAAAGCTTTACGCATATTGTTCCCAGTTGATGTTAAGGAGGAAACAAGCAAACTTTTTTTTAGTATAAAATGAGCTAAAGTTTGAGTAAAAGTTAGAAATGACAAGAATAATATTTTGTATTAATATAACATTTTTCTTTTTTCATTGTATTTTTTATGTGATATTTTACATTATGAACACAGCTAACAAACCTCAACGTATACCACCACATTATCTAGGCTTCCTTGGCTTACATTTTGTTTGAGTTAATAACTGTCAGGAAATCCACTGACAGATTTACTCAAGTTCAAGTTACATTTTATTCATCGCACAAAAATGATAAAGGAAAAACACAACATTATATAAATATAGTTTTTTTTATAACAATGGACCGGCAAGTTGTGGTTAATGAAAAACAAACAATTATTATTTTCCTTTTTTTTAATAATTCGTTAGAGATGAAAAAAAAACTACTGAACTGACAATGTAAAGGAATTAAGAATGACAGTCAACAGTATTAGCTTTATTATTATACCCTACACCACTTTAGTGGGGAGGGTATATTGGGTTTGTGCTGATGTTTGTAACGCACAATAATATTGGTCCTATACCCACCTTAAAGTATACCAATCGGCTCAGAATCATTTTCTGAGTCGATTTAGCTATGTCCGTCCGTCTGTCCGTCCGTCTGTCCGTCCGTCTGTCCGTCCGTCCATGTAAACCTTGTAATCAAACTACAGGTCGCAATTTTGAAGATATTTCAATGAAATTTGGTACATGATCTTATATTGTCCCAGGGACGAAGCCTATTGAAAATGGTTAAGATCGGTCCATTATTTCACCTAGCCCCCATACAACTGAACCCCCCAATAGGGCTTGTAATCCTTGTAATCAAACTACAGGTCGCAATTTTGAAGATATTTCAATGAAATTTTTCACATGATATTTTATGGTACCGTAGACGAAGCCTATTGAAAATGGTTAAGATCGGTCCATTATTTCACCTAGCCCCCATACAACTGAACCCCTCGAATAGGGCTTTTCAAACTTGTAATCAAACTACAGATCGCAATTTTGGACATAATTCAATGAAATTTGGCACATGATATTTTATGGTACCGTAGACGAAGCCTATTGAAAATAATTACCATCGGTCCATTATTTCACCTAGCCCCCATACAACTGAACCCCCGAATAGGGCTTTTAAAATTTGTAATCAAACCACAGGTTGCAATTTTGGAGATAATTCAATGAAATTTGGCACATGATCTTTTATGGTACCGTAGATGAAGCCTGTTGAAAATGGTTTACATCGGTCCATTATTTCACCTAGCCCCCATACAACTGAACCCGCCGAATAGGGCTTTTAAGTTCATAATTATGTTTAATATACTCATATCTCGACAAAAAGCAGCAATAACCAAGTTGTATACAAGACTTGATGACCCCCACGAATTCCATAATAATAGGTTCTCATATGACCCTAGCCCCTATGAAAAGCCCCCATCAAAATTTCACTTAAATGTCCACAATTTTATTCAACAATAAACGGCTTAAGTATGTATGTATATCTAAGGCAAGGTACAATTCAACTTAAATGCTTTATTATGGCAACTAAATCACATTATATTTTTGTCAATGGTGTAGGGTATTATATGGTCGGCCTCGCCCGACTATAATTTCTTACTTGTGTTTTTCATTGGGGTTAAATGTATTGACAATTATCCCTGAAAGCTTATAGACTTTAAATGTTTTAATTACATTACTCATTGTTTTAGTTGCAGAAGTAAAGATTTTTCTGTTGAATCACATTTTACGTTAATTTTATAAGTTTTATTAAAAATTCAGTTTACTGTGATTTAATAAGCACACTTATATCAGAAATGGTTTGTATTACAGTGTAGAATATTGTAATCTTAAGCTTGACCGTCTACATCTTTCATGAGAGTAGTATTAACAGAATTGAATATTTTTCATAACTCAAAAGCTTTAAAGTAGAATAATGTGATTATGTAAAGTAGGATGACCCTTAAATGGAAATTGTTGATGTTCCTACCAAAAACGAAATTAAGTTCCTTTGTAAGATACGATTTTTGAAAATTTTCGTAATTTCATGTAAAAGAATTATATGAAATTTTAATTTTATGTGAAGGGTGTTTGAGATGCACTGTCAAGGACATGTAAGAGATGTTTGTACTGAAAAATACTGAAAATTTTTCCGGAAAAATATTAAATTCGTACATAGATCTACTACTGAATTAATATGTATATCATAATCACTTTCATTTTGGGTGGTAATATTAGTACCTTGTTTCCTATTCATACAAACGTGGTCACCCTATATAATGTATAAGTATTATAAATATTGCATATTTTGCGGCTTATATACTTTTGTTATAATTTACTTTAAAATTTCTTTGTTTTCTGTCTCTGTTTTCTTTTTCTTCTTTATGTTAAAAAAAAAAATAATAAAAAACCTTTTTAATACTTACTTGGCCAAATCATCTAAATTCATAACGCTTGGATAACATTGAAACAGTATACGATCCGATTCTGGTATGTACATCATTTGACCCTTAAAATAAAAGAGAACAAAAAAACAAATTCATCATTTAACCAAATATTCATACATCAAGTGGGTTGGATGAATAAAATCTAGTTAGTTTTTCGTTTTATTCAATAAAATGCAATGTTGCGTAAAAATTCAACTGTTTGTTGGCAAAACAGAATTTGCCAAGAAACTACGAATGAAAACAGAATAACAATTTGTTAAATCTAAAAATTTTCCTATGGATATAGAAAGGCTAAATTAATTTTTTATTTTATTTTACATTCTCTGTAAAATTTCTTGAAAATATCTTTATGTTTATAATAAAATATAATGTTGCATTAAATTTTTATTATTATTTATATCCCTTTAAAGACATTAGATAACATTGACAATGAAAATCATAATTTTTGGGTTTCAAATTACTAAAAATTTTGTATTATGTATATTGTACTTAAATATTATATTCATTCACCATTATTAAACGCTAAGAAAGTTTTAAAGCTAAGTTTTTATGGTAATTTAGAGTTCCAAATTACTAAAAATTTAATATTATTTTTTACCAATACATATTGAGGGACTATTTTCAATAGTCTCTAAAATAATACAAGTTTTCAGGAGAGCAAAAAATCTGTTTATTTCGCTAGTTCGTGAAGATTTTTGAATTTTTTCTTCTACAATATATTTTTACGACCATATTCTAAGTCCTTATATAAAAAGAATTCAAAATTTTGCATAATTTGCAAAATTATTCACATATTTATATTAGATAAAGCTTTTTTTCTACAAACAATTTTTTACAACCTTCAGATAGAAAGTTTTTCATAGAAATGTACATTTTTTATTTGATTTAATATCAATAAATATTATCTTTTTTGCAATATAATGAAGTAATAGAAACCATATTGTTGAAAAAGCAACAGATTATAAGGTTTTGTTCAAAATCAATGTTATACACGACAATAAAATTATTCAAATTAGTATCATAATGAGTGATATTTCGAAAACTATTAAACCGATTTTTAATATTTTGGCGGATTTGTGTTCAGCATGTCCAAATTAGTAAAAAACACTTGTTTTGCAACAGAAAATTATCCAAATTAATAGTGTTTGGAGCAATTTTTGGATAAGATAGAGAGTTTTGCATTCAGAATTTTTCTTTTTTTAAGATAGAGAAATTGAAAAAGTGTTATAAAATTGCCAAAAAATATTTTTTTTTTTTTTTAAATTTATACCACTGATAAGGGGTAGTTTGCTAGATATTTTACCATCAAAATCTTATTTTCATGAAAATGACAGATAGAGACTATTGAATATAGTCCCTCGATATGATAATATTTTGGTATAAAAAAATATCTCTTTATTTAGAATTACACGCTCAAAAAAATTTAGAAAATTTAATTAACCGAAAATATAGAGAATATATTCAAGCCCGTAGAACCATTTAATTTTCACGATTTTATAAAAATTTTAAATTTATATTAAGTTTATATAATGTTATTGAAAATTTGTATTAGTTCCGTAAGTAGTTCTGGAATGCATAATTATGTTCCAGAGCACTACTTCTAGATGTAATGGCGAAGTCACTAGTTCCATGGATGTTTTTAAAGAATATAAAGTGGTTCTGTGTGTACTCGTTCTACTTAAAACTGATTTTCTAGAACAAATACTCAAAAAACATTCCTGAGTAATCAAAATCTAATAAGATATTTAGGTTGCATAAAGGACCTCTTGGTACGTGGAAAAAATAATAAAAATCGATTAAAATTGCTCTCGTTTTTACGCGATCCCAGCTAGCATTTGGAAGATTGTTGGATGATTGATTAATCAGTAAACTGAGTAATTTTTGACTCCTTTTGTTGAAAGTGATTAATAAGTTGAAAGCTTAAAAAATTATATGATATTATATGATATATGATGATTGGAAAAACAATAACAAAATGTATAGCAATCATAAATTGATCATGCTGGTGTTTAAAATATGATTGTTTTAAAAACTTATTTTGTGATCATATTTCAAGAAGGAACAGCAACACTTACACTTAAAAATTACTCAAAAACAAAGCAAAAATGAGTCGAAACTGATTAGAAAAGACCTTATTTTCTATATGACTATAATATGATTCGAAAATAACTCTAAAACGACCAGTAATTGGGCTCATTAATGACTGAAATGAGTCAGAACTGATGAGAAGTGGGGCTCCTAAAAGATTCGTTTAGAGAGTCGCGGCTAGGGTACCATTTTCTTCCAAACAATTTATCACTTATGATCAGAAAGTGAGCGCATATATAATTATTTTAATCGTGCAGAAGAGTCATAAATGACCCGAATGTGATTAAAAAATTCAAAAAATTCTAGCTGGGATACACCACTATAGTGGGGGAGGGTATTATGCGTTTATGCAGATGTTTTTAATACCTAAAATATTGATCCTACACCCACCTTAAAGTATACTAATCGGCTCAGAATCACTGAGTCTATTAAGATATGACCGTCTGTCCCTCCGTTTGTCTGTCCGTCTGTGGGGCCTTGTAAAACTTGTGCGCCCGCTACATCTCCCAATTTTTAAAATAATTTAATGAAACTTGGAACTAATGCTTCTATTGGTCCAAGGAGGAATATTATTGAGAATGGTTGAAATCGGTCAATTATTTCACCTAACCCTCATACAACCGGACCCCCGAATAAGACATTAACACTCAGAATTATGTTAAATGTTCTAGTATCTCTATAAAAATTCATAAAATTTTGTTTTATATAAGTCTATTTTCGTAATGATCGGGTGTCATATGACCCTTTCCCCATACAAAGCCCCTTCAGAATATGACTTGAATGTCCTGTATTCACTAATAAACACTAGTATTGCGATAAAATTCGGCTCAAATGCCTTTTATATAATCATAAAACCCAGTTTTTATACCCAACAACAGTATAGTGGACACTCAAAATATTTGTCCTGCACCCGTTTTAAATTATATCAGTCGGTTCACAATCACTTTCTAATTCGATTAAGTTATGTCCATCTGTCTGTCTGCGCTTGCTTCAGGTCGCAATTTTCAAGATAATTTGATAATATTCGTAATTGGTGTAGGGTATCATATATAATTTTTTTACTTGACGTGTATAAACTGAAGAACATTTTATTAAAACAAATTTTGAGATTAATATTTCATCATCCTTATTTTTCGAGTATAAACCAAAATTGTATATTTAAAAGCAAATAAGAGACAAACATATTGTTATAATATCAAAAACTTTTGCTACCTACTGTTTTCCTTTTAACTAAAACTCTGACTGGCATTGTTGATACCAACAGCAAGTGGCAAATATTTTACCATCCTAACGCTACACTCAACCATTTAAGAAGACTCATATTGCCTGTTTAAGATTATTATTTGACTGTATAAAATACTATAACCAGAAATTTGTGGTAGACATCAATGTCAGAAACACATCATTGTGATTTGTAAAAAAAAGAATACTTTAAACACAAGTACAAGAATACAAATAAGAGTATCTAAGAATGTAAGAAGAACAATACCGCATCATTTTAATATCTAATACAGTCATATTTTGTAAACATTTTTTTGCTTTAAAAAAGGAAGAATGAATTGTAGCAATATAATACATAGTATGTTCGTTTTCTTCTTAAAGCATATTGTTACTTAAAATCACTTTGATAAGACAGATATTTTTTTCTGGGTAAAATTTGTGGTTTGGGAGGGGATAATTGAAATATTCTTTTCCTTGTTAGTAGAGAGTTTGCTAGAAAAAAAAATAAGTTTGGAAATATTTTGTTCTTTCTTTGTCATTTGATTTTTGTGATGAGTTATCTGTATAAATGTATGTTTGTAGAATTATGAATTAAAGACCAACAGTTAGAAAAAAAAAACACAAAAATTGTCCAGATAGTGGCCACATGGAGGTTTGTGAAATGTTTAATGAAAAAAAAAAAAAAATCATAAAATTTTTTTCTTTGACAAGTTCTAAAAAAAGCAAATTTTATCTAGTGACCCATGTAGTGACAGCTATTTATTTAATCTATCTATATAAAAGAGTAGAGTTACTGACTGACTGATTCATCATCGCACAGCCCAAACGGTTGAACCTATAATCATGAAGTTTTGACAGTAGATGTGTTTTTGGTTATGTAGATCCATTAAGGAGGGATTTTTGGAAACTTGTACATTTAGGGATAAAAAGGGAAAAGAGGTTTTCTTAGTTATCTTACCTAATATTAGTGATAGAAGAAAAATTTTAAATGCACCTATATCTACTCTTAAAATAAGCAGATGGCTGACTGGTACTTTTTTGAAATTCGTACTTTTAAGGGGTGAAAATGTGTAACAAAGGTGATTTTGGTACCTTTTTGGCCCTTTATAACTTTTTAACTAATAAACAAAATAACATTTTTGTAAATAATTTGACTATATCTCCAAAAATTAGGAGACACCTGTTTCGTACTTTTTTAAAATTCAGTCTTTTTTGGATGTAAGAGGGAGAAAACTGTATTTTTGGTACTTTTTTTTAGCACATTAAGAAAACTTTTTCGATTTATTGAAGTATTTCTAATAAATTATGGACTAACACTGGGGAAAAAAGTACCAAAAAGGGGTACTATTCAAACTCAGTGAGCAAAATTTTATAAAATTTGAAAAAGTAGTTTATTTACTCACACAAAATAAACTATTGGTATATTATTTTGGAATTCGAGTACTAAGGCCTATATAGGATCAAATTCGAGTAAATTGTTTGGTACTTTTTGAAAGCACAATTTTTCTGGAACAAATGAATGCAGATTTGAATCGTTTGAGTTTTATCTGTGATATATATATATATTTAAATACGGAACATTTTGTAAACTTTATTTTAAGTTTATTATATAGTTTCGACTTTAGGGTAGTGAATAGAGAAGTCTATAGTCTTGACTTTGGAATAGTCTAAAGTGTCGGTTATATTCTTTATCGATCATGATTGAAATAGTTAAAAGTGCTCTAACCGACACTTTATTATTAATTGACATTAATAAGATTTTGCAATTGCTATCTTTTAATTTATTACAAAAAAAATTTGTTAAATTAAAATTTTGTCCTAAAATTATCATAATATTTTAAATATTATCATTTCTTTTCTAAATTTGTAAAACTAAGTACATATTTTCCTATTTAGCTATAGACTCGAATATATAGTTTTATTTATGACACAAAAAATAACCTTGTACCTACATTTATTAACAAACTTTTAACATTATATTCATAACTTTGTAAATATAAATATAATAATAACTATATTTATGAATATACATACACACATACTTATGTACTTAAATATATAAAAATAAAAAGATACACATACCTTTAGTCTAAGATAACGTTCATGTTTGCCCATGGCACCTTGACGTGTCTGCAGTACGTAGATTGTATTGATATGGGCTAAAACATTTTCGAATGTCAATTGTAAATGAGGACGTATGGCTTCAAGTACTTCTAATAAAGAGCAATTTTCATCGGCCACTCTAGCAAAAATGAAAGAAAAAACATATTTGTTAGAAAAACAAAATTCTACAAAAAATGAAAAGACATGGATATTAATAACAACTTAATATCAACATGGCCATTTGGTATCGATATAAAGGCATTTTTATTATACTTTGACAAACATGAGCACAAATGTATGTACTACTATGTGTTAACAAACCAGCATTGTGAACCTTATGTTCATATGTTTGTTTGTTTTTGCAAGTACCCAGGCTGGTAAACAAAATGCATATGTATGCCTTTTTTGTGGTATGAGTGATGAAGGATTTCTTTAATATGCTTAAGTAACCAACTTAAACACATTGCCCATATACATTTGTGCATATTTTCTTTAGTTTTCATGTTTGTCTTTGTGTGTTGTTCAAATGTCATTTTCAATTTAGTCTTTCGTCTAAGGCTACAAATTAAGTATTCAATATCATTTGAAAATTAACACATTTTGCACTTAAATTATTTTTAAGTAATACCTACCGTGGTATAACTCTTGATACTGATTTGCCAGCTTGTACAATTTTCATTTGACGATCGAACATAAGATGAAATGGGAAAATTTTACAAAATGTTGCCGGTGATATCAAAGGGGCTGAAAAGATAAAATTTTATTGTTCATTAAAGGTTTCTATTAAATATAATTAAAAAGCAAAAAAATTTACAGTCGAGCATGGCCGTTCATAGGATATTCTTTGACTGTGATTTCAGAATGTAAGGTGGCGTTCCTGGTAATTTTTGAAAATAATCCTTAGTTTTATTATATAGTACTTATACCCCACACCATTATAGTGGGTTTGTACTTATATTTGGAACGCATAGAAATATTAATTCTACATCCACTTTATACAATACCAATTAGCTCAGAATTATTTTCTGAATCAATCAAGAGATGTCCGTCCCTCCGTCTCCATCTGTCCATCCATGTTACCCTTGTAATCATTCCACAGGTTGTAATTTTCAAGATAATTTAATGAACATATGCTTTTTTGAACTAAAGTCGTTGGATTTTTTGACCGGTTCATTATTATCATCCATAAAACCGTACTCCTCGAATAGAGTTTTGGAGCACACAATTATGTTAAATATTCAAAACTACAAAACTAGCACAAAATTCCCCTCAGAAATTGTATTGAACGTCCTTAGCTCTTATACATACATGTATATACATTAGGGTGTCCCGTGGTGCACTTTTTTGTAGGACTACATCTCAAAAGATACTAAATACGAGACAAATTAATAATAATTATTTCGAAAATGGTCTCAGTTCATTACCATCCGATTCTCATAAAATAATTAAGAGGGATTTCGGTTTATGTAAAACATTTCGAATTTCATCGCTCTACCTGTATTTTTAAGTCAGTAATGAGCATTTAAGCAATATTGGCCTAATGGACCTTATATGGGAGGTAGGGCCAATTATGGACCTATCGTCATTAAATTTGTTAGAGAAATTTCGAGTTTCGAGAAATTAGAGTTAAAGCCTTTGTTTGAAGAGGACGTTATATGGGGGTAGGGTCAAGAATGGACCGATCCGCATAAAATTTGGTGGGGAGATTTTGGTTCCTATAAAACTTGTTAATAAACAATTTCATTGATATAATATAACTTTATACCAGTTAAAATTATCTTCCGAAGGGGACGACTTTCTGTGAGGGTAGGGTCAGTTTTTGTATGGATATAGTCCCCATACAAGAATTGACACATAGACCTATGTATATTACCTTTATTCAATACCAAATAATGCCTTTCAATGAGAATATTTGTGCAAAATTTCAACTCTCTAGGTTTTCTCGTTTAGGCCCTATCGTTTCTACAACAGATATACCATTTTTTTGATGGTGGGTATAAAACGTAGTCCTTAGTCGATCGTTATTGGGGTAATAACTTTGGCCTAATAATAATAGACACAATTAAAATTGAAAAGCACTTACCTCCACATAAATTTTCTATTTCATCTGGTGGCTCCTTGCCGGCTTCATCTTTTGCTTCATTGTCTGCTTTGTTAGTCGATGATATTTCACGTATCAGAAATTGGACATGATCATAACGTTCAATATCGTCACTTTTATTTTTCAGTAAACGTAAACATTTCTGTTCTTTATCTTCGGTGTCGAAACTATCCGCAGTTGTGGCAGTTGTTGAAGAGGCGGAATGAGATTTTTTGCGTGTAAATGGACATGGTTCTAGAAGTGGAAACATTATTAAGTATATTTAAATTTAACATATGTATTTTTTTTTTCAATTTGACATTAAAATTCCTACCTTGTCTTCTGTTATTTGTATAATTATCCGCAGATTCATCGTTGTTATTGTTAAGATTAATGTTGTTGTTCAGATTATTATTTTCTTCATTGGAACATGTTACGGAAGCATTCGTTTGTTGTTGTTGCTGTATTTGATTTATTTGATGTAAAAATACCTCGTCTTTTTCATCCTCTTCCATAGGATCTCCTTTACGTTTCACAATTTCTATTTCCACATCGACGCCATGTAATTTGGAGGCAACCGCCTGAATATAAATGGAGAAATGAACGGTAGATTGTCACAAAAATATTGATTTTTTGATTGGTTGAAAAAATAAACAAAATTATAATGATAATGAAACATTACACGAGGTTAGATATAATAATTTTGGAAAAGTAAGCAGCTCAATAAGTAACATTTATGTCATCATTTATTACTTACCTTAACAATACCAATTACAATGTGTTCTAAGCCTGGACGTTCTGAATAGTAGTGCAACAGCAGCGAGCCATCCTTTTCTGTGCAGCGAAATGAAGGTGCTCTCATGCCAGGATACAATGTGCCCAAATGGTCATGTAGGGCATCCAAATTCTAATGCATTTTCAATATTTATGCCACGATAATGTAACAAAATAATTCCATAAAAGGCCAAGGCATGAGACCAGACGGCATAGCAACAAACAAGTAGTCCAATAGAATATGATTTGTAAGTTTGTAAGTATTATATTATATTAAATTATTGAAGGTCATCATCATCCACAATACAACCATCATCATATGCAATATAAAAGTATAGTTATATTTCCAACAATGAGAACAATAGAAAATAAAGGACCATAAAGTATGAATGTGTGCAACCACCAGTAGTAGCATTTGTTCCATTTAAACCAACAGCATTGTCATTCATCGATTTTGATGGAATGAACACAAAAATGCAAGAAAATATTCAATTTTACAATTTTGTTTTATTATTAAATGATAAACGAGCCACAACAACAAGAACAAATAAGGTTTGTTGCAATACAATACAATACAAAAAAAAAAAAAAACGAAACGTAACCATCATCAATTGTATGAATTTATTATTGTTGTTGAAGTGGATGTACAGAGGTAGCAAAAGTAGTTGTAGCAATTGCAACAAGAAATATGTTTGTTATTGTTGTTCATGGTATTATTTCAGCATCATCATCATCGACAGCATTGACAAGGGTTTCGTTGTATAATACAGGAAGTAGTACAAGTCACAGAGAAACCATCCAAAACATATACACAGACACATTTTACCAGAAGCCATCCATGTATGTTTGTAGTTGTTAACGTTGTTTTATAAAAAGAGAAGGGGATAGAGAAAAAGGAAAAAAAAAAAATATACATAAATACATACACATAAATATAAAATGAATAAACAACGAAAACAGCAACAAATAAATAAACGAATCAAATTGAAAATAAATCGAATGTGAATACAACACTCTCTTTCTATTCTTTATAGATTTGTTCATCATAAAACGGAATTAAAAAAATATGTATGAAAATTTAACTTAGTATTTTCTACTGCTTAGATAAAGTGTAATATACTTTTGTTATTTTACAGGAAATTCAAATCCCCTGAAACATATTATTTTTTTTTTCTTTATTTTTCTATAGGAACCCAAACTATTTGTACAGATAAATAAATAGTGATTAACGATAATTGCTTGACAAGGTATAAAATGCTCTAGGGATATACAGTTTGTTGTTTTGTGTTAATTTTTGTAAAACGCATAACACTTCCGTTAGAAGAAAAGACACAAATGCCATTAAGTAAATTTGTTTAATATTTTTTTCACATTTGTCAGATAACAGATTCGATCGAAAATTTGTCTTTAAATTATTTAAAGAATATTAATATTTGTTTTGGACTCTGTTTTCCTGATATGTATATTAAAACTATTCTTTCGAGTTTTATTCTTTTGGTTCTATATACATTAGACCGGATTACAAATTGTTTCTTGAGTTACCCTTCTCAAAATATAATATGTTAAGTCATATGATGTTACTAAAAATTAATTAATTCTAAGAAGTAAGAATGAATCTTATTAATTTAATACACTATGATCTCCCCTGTATATGGAGTATATGATCTGTTTAGTAGTCCTATGGTATGCAAACATGTATCATAATGAGTTTTTAAAATCCTGGTTTACAAGGACCATGGATTTATGTAATCCCATAATATTAGCAAAAGGGTAGTTTTGGGATTAGTCTGATGTAATGCATGTTTGGATTACATGGTCCTTCATTTAACATGAAAAATTTAAATGTAGAATGTTTTTTATATTTGGATTAGTTTTGGACGAGTCTCTTTACACAAGTGTAAGGTTGGTTGGTTAACGTGGTAGTTAACTGCTCGCGAACAGTCATTTAGACTCCGTTTTCCGATGTTGTATTGTATAGCATTAGATCCAGCTTGTAGCAATGAGAGTTTTCAGGATATCATTAAGCTTAGACCCACATATTTCACCAAGGATTTCTATGAAGTAACTGCCAAAAAACAGTTTCTTGTGGCGGCTAGAGCAGAGCATTCACAGAGGTCATTCCATATATCTTCAGCCTTTCGAAGAAATAATGTGCGATACTGATCTGGATAAAACCTAACGGAGTTGATACTAAAACGGCGTTGGAGATATCTAGAGCAGATCCCATTTTGACAAACTCATCTGCCTGTTCATTTCGATAATAGCCCCTATGCGCAGGGACCCAAACAAGGACAGATCCTTCTTGCATTGTCTAACTAATAGGGAAGTGGTAATATAAGAGTTTAGTGAGAGAATTGCCGCTTGGCTATCGACAAAAATGTCTATGTTACCAGAATATTGAGATCATAGGCATGTCTGTAAAGCGAGATTTAAATATGTATGTTTAAAATTCATTGGCAACGGTCTTAAAAAACGGATTTTTCAGATCCATTTATATATTGTACTGAAAACAGGATTTTTGTGTCTTTGATTATATATTTTTTATTTTTCTCATATTTAGTGCAAATTATTTGTTCTCCTACAAAACTATGGTTCATGCGACAGTTTCATGTGTATATCACGCAAAGGAATGATCTAAAATTTTGATATCATGTGAAAGGTCTTTAAGAGGCGCTTTCAAAAGTATTGAAAATTTTATAATTCTTCGGAAAAATTTAAAATTTTTACATAGATTTAATGAAATTAATATATCCTTATTAAATTTCAGCTATTCCTTCTATATTAATTCTTGTTTCTGAAACAATAGCATTTAATTTCCGAAATAAATATAAAATATTTATGAATATAAACACACCTGTAAGAAATCTCTTGGTGTGGCTCCCAATACTTGTAGGATTTTATCGTAGCCTGAATCTTGACAGAATTCAAAAAAAGTTTTACCAAATAATTCCAAAATATCATCAGCTGGTATATCTGCAAAAGAAAGGAAACATGTTTAAAATGTTGTCTATTATTACAACCCCAAACTCAGCATAATTTTATTTATTTCTATGAATAGACTCTTTAATACAAAATCATTTAAAGCATTTATTAAGTTTTTTACATTCAACAACACTCAATCGAATTTATTACTTTTAACAATTAAAAACTTTATAAATATTTTTATTATGAATATATTTTATATGAATACACTCCTTCTTGCATACACTTAATTGAAACATTATAAAATATATAATTATTTAATTGCAACAATAAATATGTATGTTTAAATCGTTTTTACTCACTTAATATTTCCACTGCAGCACCAATTAAATTGTATGTGATTTCATCGTCATATATTTGTCGCACTAAAAATTGTCCTTCCATTGTGACCATGGCTTTTTTTCTGAAAAATTTTAAAATAAAAAAATGCAAAGAATTATAAATAAATATAGAATTACAATAGCACGTACTTAAGTAATATTGTATATTAATTAATAAATGTTCATAGAGTTTAAACTTTCAAGAGACCAGTTGGTTAAATGTGTGTTTATTTTTATATTCTTTAGTAAAATTGTTTATAATTGAAGTTTTGCAAATAACAATTACTTGTAATTGTAATTGAAGAATTTCCAATTACAATTACTTGTAATTGTGAATTTTGTTCCTTACAATTACATGTAATTTATAATTAGTAATACCTTAATGACAATTACAAGTAATTTTAATTGGAAACTTCAATTATAATTACAAGTAATTGGAAAGACTTCAGTTACAATTACAAGTAGTTGTAATTGGTGATTGGCCAATTACAAATTACATGTAATTGTAATTGGAAAAACTTCAATTACAATTACAAGTATTTGTAATTGGTTATTGCTCAATTACACATTACAAGTAATTGTAATTGACCATGTAATGAATTACTTTGTGTAATCCCCCATGCCTGGTCGGTAGTTACAACAAATGTTTTCTTAATCAACGAATTTATTACAATTGTTTGGTATTTTTTCACTACCAACAATCCTTTTGATAATTTATCATTTCTGTACAAAAAATAAATTTATAATTTTTTAAATACAAAAACACGCACAACAATAAATTCTTTTTAAACAATACAATGCAATAATAAGAGAACAGTGAGTGAAAAAAAAGAACCAATTAATTTTTATTTATTACTGTCATACGCGTATATATCCCCAAACACATATAAATGTGGAAAGTCTCACAGACGCAGACACTCATACCGAGTGGCAAAAATCCGAAGGTCTTCCACGAACAGGCCTTTTTAAAGGGTTTAAAAACCATTTTGTTTCTTAATTTAGGCAGTCTTTAAAAAACATTAAAGACCCCTTTCTGACACCCCTTGGGAAATAACAAACTCAGCAAATAGGATCCGAAATTGAGAAAAAACTAAAAAACCTTATTACTAGATTCTTGTAATTATTCGGCTTTGCCGAATCATATATACCCTTCACCATAGTGTATTTAAAAAATATTAAATTTATAAAATTTCAAAACATACCAAACAAAATACACAACGCAATGAAACCAACATACATCCAAACATAAATCTTTTTCCAATAAGCAGTGTTGTTGTTGCTTATTTATCAAGGCATGCAAAATATTGCCTTTTTTGATGAAATTTTCAGAGGTTGTTTCGGATTTTTTCTTATATCTCCGTTATTTATGGACGGATTTTGCTCATTTTAAATATGAAACTTCTCGAAAATATGTCTGACAGAATTTTTTAAGACTTAGATCCCAAAGTTATCAGAGGTCTTCAGAAAACTGATTTCAACAAACACACAGACGGACAGACAGAGAGACGGACAGACATGGCTTAATCGACTCCGCTATCTATAAGGATTCAGAATATATATATACTTTATAGTGTCGGAAAATTATATTTTGGATATTACAAATGGATTTACAAACTTATATATACCCTTCTCACGAAGGTGAAGGGTATAATTACATATAAAACAGAAATGGGATTTTAAAGGGATTAGGAGCCTCTATATCTGCTAGAAAAAGGCCATTATGAAGGCCTTTTTATATTTACGTTTTATCGCTGGGTATTTAAAAATTATGCATATGTTATACAAGTTTGTGTAACAATGGATTTGTATAAGTATGGGGGTAATTGTAGTTTTAACTTTTATTTTGTATGCATACATGTGCAAATACATTAAAAATACATAAAAAGATTAGGGTCATTCCAAACCTAGATTTATAGGTGGATTTAATAAAAAATTTCTCAAAACTGTTGTCCTTATTTTAAGTGTTGGTGAGCAACAATTTGTAAAAATGTCAACTTTCTGAATATAGAAAACAATGACCATATTTTTTTTCATTGAGACCAGCCTAATATACATATATATATATTTATGTTAAATACATATGTATGTACATTGCAATAACATGCAATTTGTGGTTAACAAAACGTTTTTAATCGTTGTCATAAATAATTAAGCGTCATTACTTCTTTTATTTAATAGTACTTTTTTAATGAATTAAATGCGTTTTTTTAATATTTAATTCTTAAAAACACAATTACTCGTATTAAGTTAAGTATTGGTAGTGTAATAAAACGTACATTTAAGCGGTTCTTTATTAAATATTGAAAATAATTGAAGCAAAATAAATATGATTATGTATTGTTATAACTTTAAAAGTATTTCAAATTTATTACATATGTGTAAAGAAATTATTTGATTTTCATAAGATTTGAGTTTTAATCTGTCGATTTAAAATAAACGAAAGTTTTTCCGATTCTAGCCCTCTAACAACAATTTCTTGCATCCAAACCAATATTTGTTTCATTGTCAATGCCACTTTTTAATCAAGCTAAACAATAATATTTATTAGCAATTTGGACATCTGTGAAGTAAAAAACTCGTTTAAAATTCTGAAGTTAAAGTATTGATCGAGCTCCGCTGTGACAGACTCAAATACGGAAACAGAACCACTAATCTACGTCTAATTTTGACGTCTGTGAAGTAAAAAACTTGTTTAAAATTGTGAAGTTTAAGTATTTATCGAGTTACGCTGTGACAGACTCAAATACGGAAACAGAACTGTTAATCTACCGCAGTCACACAATGCGTATACGTAATATTTACTTCTATTTTTAATACTCATATAAAGTATACGTATTATATTTCTTATATTTATTTTTACTTTAATAGCAATGGAGGTTAACCGAAGTCTTTTTAATTCAGAATTTAATCAAATATTTAAAAAAGTGTCTTCTTATAGCAGGACAACAATATTTGGTAGCTATTTTAAAGACAGTGAAGTAAAAAACTTGTTTAAAATACTGCAGATCAAATAACTATAGAGTCTGATAGACTAGAACGCAGAAACAGAACTACTAACCTACCAAAGTCACACAATGCGTATACGTAATATTTACCTCTGTTATTAATAATTATATAAAGTATACGTATTAATTTTCATATATGGGCAATTTCATATAAAATGACCGAGGTTAGTACTATTGGTATCGGCCCAGAACTGCCGGACTTAGAGGGGGTCAATGTTGGACATTTTGGTCATACAAGGTTTTATTCAAATGATTGTAACTTTTCACCTCTTGGTCCTAGAAAAATTTGTCAGATAGTTAGAGTTCAGATAGCTATTTCTACATTGTTTTCAGAATTTATTTTTAAATTTGTTTTTTTTTTTAATTTTTTTCCAAAAATGGGCCCTTTCTTTGGCACTTAATTTTTCCCTATTTTTTCAAAAAGGACGTTTTTGTTGTTTTACTTAGTGGGATGCGAGAAGAATGTCTATCAAAAAATTTATTTTTTAACTTATGAATAAGATTTTTCAATATTTGGCACTTAATTTTCTCCTATTGCTAGGACCAATAGGTGAAAACTTACACTCACTTGAATAAAACGCTGTATGACCAAAATGTCCAACTTTGACTCTCTCTAAGTCCGAAAGCGCTAAAAATTATTGTCTGGCCTACTATCCAATATCCAAGGTTATCCTTGGTTAGTTCCTTGGTGCAAATTTCATCACATCGCTTTTGAAAGTTGGGCCACTTAACACGAAATGACCCATATTTATTTTAACTTCAATTCGAATGGAAGTGTCACTTTTGGAAATTTAAAAAATATTTTAAAAGATCTCTTCTTATACTCTATTCAAAGTTATGTAGTCTTTAATATGAATAGAAAGAAATTGAAACATCAAATAAAAAATATATAAAATTTACAACTTTTGTAGTACAAGTACTGTTTACAACTTTTCACAGACAATATTTTTTATTTTGTACTATTACTGTTGATAGTTTGACCAATTTGAAATTCATAACACGAAAACCTGAGGAAATTTGATTATTTAATTTTTGCTTAGTTTATCATTTTGTCAGCAAAAAAAAGAAAATCTAAAACAAAAATTGGGTAGAAAACTAAACAAAGTTACTTGTTGTATCTAAAACAACTTTTGCACAGGTGTGCAAGGAAAACTAATAGAGTTTATGCTCGTATACTATTATAGTAAAAAAGAAAGAAGAAAAAAAAAACTTTTTTGGAGTTATGTGTTATATTCTTTTTGTATACTTTTTAAATAAATATAGATGTGAAAAAGTAAAAGTGTTTTATATTATAAAGATACATGCTCAACTTACACCTAAAAGCATATAGAGAGACCTTTTTGTAATTTGTTGGCAATTTTAAAAAAAAGTTTTTATATCCTGGCAAAAATTTGATATTTACATACACACAAATACATATGCTCTGTGACCCAGAAACTTCGATATATGTTGTATTGAAAAGGGAATATTAAAGCTTGAAGTTAATATTTGCTTTTAAAGTAAGCATATAGATAAAAGAGTATAATTTTGCGAGTACCTTTGGCTTACAACTTATATTACTTTTAAAAACTATTATGTAGGGAAGTGTTCAATAGTAAGATGTGTCAACTGATACTTAATAGTTTCGATGTTGTTTGCTGTTCCCTACATTTTCACTTTAATGATTATAAACAAATATGTTTATTACGCTAAAATGTACATAAATAATTGAATTAATTAAATTAGACATACACTATCTTTTTCTTATTAATTTATATTTTAATTAGCAAACACAATTTTTTTCTATGTTTCTTGTTTATATGTACATACATACATACACAGAGGGAAAAAGAAATATACACGCTTGGTACCAAATTGGCACCAAAGAGTTTGTAATTTTTCAATAACAACCGTTGTCAAAGTATATACATACGTACGACAACACTATGTCGCAACGTTGTCAACATTGCAACAATTCGTTGTCAAAATCTAAATTTTATACACATCCGTTGTCTAAATGTTAACAAACGTGGTAAGCTCACTATTGGCAACGGATTGTTTGCAATAGTGAACTTACCACGTTTGTTAACATTTAGACC